TGTTGAAATCTTTACTTAATGTATACTAACTGATCGTCTGTAAAAAATAACGAGAAGTAGCAATTCCCAACTTGACTCTCGCTGGGATTAAACATGACAATAGGTCTGATCTGATTTCATCATAATTTAAAAAATCATCTATTATTTTTCACTTTATGTTTCTGTGTGGGAGCAAACTGTTGAAATCTTTACTTAATGTATGCTAAACTGATCGTCTGTATATAAAGAGAATTGAAAATGAATCCTCATGTGAATGGAAGGGGAGAGGGAATGGGAAAGGGGAGAGTTGCGGGTGGGAGGGACGTTATGGGGGGGAAGCCATTGTAATCCATAAGCCGTACTTTGGAAATTTATATTCATTAAATAAAAGTCAAAAAAAAAGAGAGAAGTTTAATTTCATACAAAAGTTGTGAAAATATACATTTTCCATGAAGTTTTTAAGGACCTTTCATATGTGCACAGCCACTGGCTGGCAGATGGAGCCCCAATCTGTCAACTGTAGTTGGCCCCCAACAGGTGGGATAAAAAGGCAAGACATTCTGGTCCTGTATTATATGCTTCCATTCTTTTTCTTTTTCTAATGACCATATGCTATGACTTACCATTGTTCCATTTTGTACTTGATGAAATAAAAGAATTATTTTCTCTATGTATAATAATGCCATAATGGTTATACATTATGGTTTAACCATAATGGTTATACTTGAAATGAGGCAATATATTTTAGGGATAGTGGTTGGAAAATGGAACCATCTGGGATTTATTTGAAAACTGTACTGGGGGTGGGAAAGTTGGTGAAGATAAGATAAACAAGATCGTTGCTTTTGGGAAACTGGAGGAACTGCTGTTTTATGCTCCACTCTCAGGCACAGTGAAAACTTTTCAAATTAAAAAGAATGCTCCTTTAAAGATAGTTTCATTTTTGGAAAAAGTAGAAAACAGCCTTATAAGAAATAAAAAAAAATTAAGAAGCCAAAGTTCTTGGCAGAGAGGACAACAGGAATGAGGGGGTGGAGCCAAATCTGAAGGCCTTACTGGGCTCTGCCAGGATTGCTCTGAATACTCCCAAGAAAAACTAGAAGTCCTCCAACTAATCCTCTAGATTAGTAATGTGGGCTAAAAGAGCTCCCTCATACAAATGGAGGATTCTTGCTGAGTTCACCAAGGTTGCCATAGGACCCGACCCTTAAGAATCTGAGATAGAGGTCCCAGAATAAACAAGTTGATTAGGAAGGAAGGGAGGAGGAAGTATCATTATTAGAATTGTATCTATGAAATACATTGTATCTGTTCTCTTTGTATTACTATCATATTAACATGAGAATTGATGAGACTTGTGTTTTCATTTGATGTGACCCTGAGAATATTGTGTATTAATAAATTCCTTAAATAAAAAATAATCATCCCAATATCCTAGACTCAGAGCTCCAATGATAGACAAAAAGAAAATGCCTATGCCCAGAACAATTTTAAAAAGTACATTTGACAAGTAAGTGGAGATGGTCTGAGCGACTCACCTCACCAAGGCATTTCAAAATGCTTACCATGATCCGAGGTAAATGCAATGATGGTGCTGTTAGCCAGCTGAAGATCATCCAAGGCACTCAGAAGGCTGCCAACCTGTGTATCCACATATGAAACAGAGGCAAAGTAGCTCTGACGGATTTTCCGCTGCAAATGGAAAACAACCAATCATGAGAGTGACTACAATTGAAATAGATAATGTCCACCTGAGCATCTCTGGCCCAGCCCCTCAGGTGCTGCCCTTGACGACATTCTCAGTCAAATGTCAGAGTCCTTCCCTACCATCCACAGTCCCTCACCTGCAGAGTCACAAGACAATCTGCCAGTACAAAGTAAGATATGTTTCTGCGTGAAAGCTTTTACTTTAGGGCAGAGATCACGGCAAATGGATGTGTCACTGACTGCTCCTTACTGTTGCCTTCACATATTCTGGCAGGTTCCAGGAGGTGAATGACTACACAGAAATTGATCCCTCAGCCTCTCCAAGTATGGACCCACATGTGCTCTCATGAAAAGCACCAGAAGGATACAATTAATTCATCTGTATTAATTTCCTGGGGCTGCTTGACAACAAGAAAGTACCACAAAATGGGTGGCTTAAAACATTAGAAATGTCCTGTTGCCCAGTTCTGGAGACGAGAAATCTAAAATGAGGCTCTAGGGGAGGATTCTCTCTTCCCAGTTTCTTGTGGCTGCTGCAATCCCTGGCATTCTTTGGTATGCAGCTGACCATTCATTCCAATTTCTGCCTCCATTTTCACATGGAGTTTGACCCATTTGTCTCCCTCTCCCTCTCTTTCTCCATCTCCCTTTCCCCCCTCCCCTCCCTCTCTCGTTGCTTCACAGAAGAGTTGGCCTTGAGAAGAAACATTCACAGTCAGACAAATGGGGATAGGGTGCTGTGGGCAGAGGCTGCAGTATGTGGAATGGCATGGAGTCTAGCAGAACAGGGCACGTTTGGAGTTCATGAATGGGCTGCTGTAGTTGGAGAATCAAATGGGAGGGCAGGAGGTTGGAGGTCACTGAACATGTAGGTTTGGGCCAGATGATATGGACCTGACAGTTCTCTCCAGTGAGTGGACATCCCAGGCTGAAGGCTAAGGGAGTCACTAAGCTATTTCAAATCCAAGAGGTGACACGAAATGGACCACAGATTAGTCTGTGACAACAGCCTGGAACAAAGATTCCAATGGCTTTGTCCAAAACAGCAGTAAATTGGGCTGGGCACATATGAGATACTAAGCACACTTACTGAGTAAATAAAACAAGACTCACTGCATAGATACACTGAAGGAGCCGTATGACAGGGCAGATTTGAGAGGGACTTATGGAGCTCCATCAGGCAGGTGGAAGGGGAGACGAGGGAGGAACAGGCAAAAGGAGATAAGAATCTAAGGGTGACTCTAGGTTTTTCATTTAGGCTATTGGGACAATTCACTAGCATGTGGGAAGTGGGAGGAATGAGAGGAAGGGAAGAAAGGGCAAATTGAGGGTGCTGGTCTGACAATGCAGAAGCCTACAAGGCTGAAGTCTCCATGGTCATCTGCCTGGGAATTGTTCTCAAAGGCTGGTGCACACACAGGTCTGAAAAATCAGAAGCAAAGCCTGGGCTGGAGGATTGGTTCTGGGAGTCATATGCCTGCCAGACTCACATGAGCCCACTTGGGAAGGATGGGTGGTAAGGACACATGGGACTGACCCCTGACCTTGGGATGGCAGCACCTAAGCAATGGAGACAGAAAGAAGGGCATGCCATGGAGTCTGGAGCAGAGGGTACCCAGGAAGGCTGGCAAGGAAGCCCAGAAGATGGATGCTTTCAGAAGGGGGAGGCTGATAACCATGGAGAAAGGAGAAAGGAGCATGGAGCTCAGAGAAAGTCAGGACCCACAAGGATGGATTTTATTTGCCAACAAGGTCAGTGTTGACCCAGGTGAAAGAACTTAGTGGGATGAGAAGACAGAAGCCCAAGCAGAGAAAGAACCACACAATGAGGCCAGGAGCACAAGCAGAATAGACTGCTTTTTACTCACCATCCCTTGAAGGGCAGGCGAGGGATTGGAAAGGGGGGAGAAACAGGCAGGGAGCAAAGGAGGCAGTGCATACTGTTGAAGACTGGAAGGGTGTACACAGACATAGAGGCTGCATGGAAAGTCCATAGGAATAAAGGAAAACCCCAATCATTGGCTTACAGAAACGGGCAAAAGGGACAATGTGCAAAGACAGACAAGTCCCTGTCACTTTTCTTCTGAGACTCAGGAGAATGCCTGAAGCCCAACACATGTATACATTGTTTCATATTTCAGTGAGAGAGAATATTAATAGTACCCATTTACCAAGTACCTTCTGGATGCCATCTGATCCTTTATGGTCAGTGTTACCATTCTCATCTTACTCATGAGGACTCTGAGGCTCAGAAAGGTTAAATAACTTGTCTAGAGTCACACAGCTGTAAGGGACAAAGCCCCTATCTATACTCATGTCCATCTTCCATGTTTATTTTCTTCTGGCTGTCCACTAGCATCTATTTCTAAAACAGCAAGGGTGGTTATCTGCTGAGCAACCAGGCAGGGGGATGACAGACTGGAGAGGAGTGGCAAGGGTTCAAAGTAGCTGCAGAGGACAAGGGAAAAGGGGCCAAGCAGAAAGCCCACAAGGGACTGCCAGGGCTAGAGGCTGGACAACTGAGGATCTCTCTGCCTGCGTTGATCTGCTGCATGGATTCTCTCAGGCAAGCCTCAGGAATCCAGCCAGAGAGCAGAGGACATGGTTAGACTGTCCCTTGCTCAGGGTACTGCAAGTGAAACAAGGGTAAATGGACAAATATGTTCAGGGCTATCAAGAACACCAAGAACACGAAGGCCTTAGCTATTCAGGGATGGAGTGAAGCCAAGAGGCCACTTACACAGCAGGTAGAGGAGAATTCCTTTCTCTGATGATTCCTGGGAGATGTGTAGGCAATGTAAGCTGAAAGATGGGGTTGTCAGGATGATGGTCAAGAAGGAGCAGGCCTGGGAGAGGAAAAGCCATCAGGTGTGGCCCCTGAGTTTACTGGCTCATGTGGAGTTGAGTTAGAGAGCTGGGACTGAAGGGAGCACACAACTGAAAGGCTCAAGAATGGAGACAAGATTTGTACATCTAAAGCTGCAAGAGAATGGGAAGCAGGGCCCAAATCCAAGGAAAATGTGGGGCAGGAACCAGCATATGAGGGCATGGTGAGGCCCTATGCATCACACTGTCAGCTGTGTGTTCAACGTGTGAGGAGACTTGGGAGAGCTTGAATAAGGCCTCACCATGCGTCTGACACTATCCTAGATGCTTGTACATGTTCCCTTTAGTCCTCAATGAAAGCCTCGAAAGTCAGTGTTATCATGGAAAACCTTTATCCATCCTGTTTCCCTTTTATAAACAAGGCAACTGAAGCCCACAGAGGTAAAGCACCTTGACAGAAGTCATGCAGCTGGTAGAGGAATAATGAATTGGAACCCAGACTGTTTGAGATTGACAAAACCGATCATGGGCTTTGGAGTCACATATTTGTGTCGGTGAATTGGCTCCATCTGGCACTAACTTTGTGACTGAGGCAAGTCAGCATACCTCTCCTTTACTTTCCTCATCTAGATAACAAAGACAGGTGCCTAACTAGATTCCTATGGGGACCAAAGGAAAGAGCACACATAAATGCTCAGTTCCTTTCCTGGCACCCAGTCTAATCACTTTAAGTAATTGTCATAAATGAGGCATCCAAGTGCAGCCTCAAAACTGCAATTTGAGCTACCTCACTACCAGAACGCTTCCAGTGCAAAATTAGGTAACAAAGGAATTGTGAATTTCTTGCTTTCCAAAACTCTCACCACTTGCTGTTCAAAATTCAGGAATCAAAAAGCCTTGAGGAATGCATACCCCTTACCAGCCTTTGCTGTGCAAACTTGGGTGCCAAATAGGTTTGGATAGCAACAGATAACTATGTATCAGTTTGGTTTGATTTTAAAATATACAGTAGTGGTTCTCAAATTTTTGAGTACATAGGAATCACCTGGTCTATGTTTTTGGGAAGTATGTTCTCAGGCACCACCTCCAGCTTCCAATTCCATCTATGTGAATGGGCCAGGGTTCTGCATTTCTGACAAGCTTTCCCAGCAGTTGTTCTGCAGGCAGTCCAGGAAGCACACTCTGAAACACTGCCCTTTCCAATCCACTTTAGCCTGCATGTTGGCACTTGAGTGGTAAGAGAAGGGCAGGGTTCCAACATATAATATTCTAGAAAGAGCATTGTGCAGCATGATTCCTAGACTTTCCAGGGTAAGAGGGTGATGAGCAAGCATCAGGTTTCTAATTCTGTAGTTGCTCCGTCCTCATACCATGGCAAAGACACACCAGCTATCATGGTAGATGGCAGTATCCATGGAGGTGTCCCACTTCCTTTCATACCAATGTTTGCTCACAAAACCATCCCCTGAAAGTGACAGGTGCCAGAGTAGGCTTTCCCCCACAGAGGGAGCCTGCAAGTATCAGCAAACCTAGCATTCTGGGCTGCTCAAGAGTTCCTCACCCTACTGATAATCCAAATTCAGCAGCATTCCCTGCAGCTTAGGGATAATCATCTAGGCCACTTCCCCACCCCCATGGCCCACCTTTAGTTTGGAGGCTGAGACACTGGCTTGGAAATTCTTGATCCACCTTGCACTAATAAGGTCTTAAAATTTCTACAAATCACGCTCCCCTCCCCAGCACATCACACAATGTCAGGTACAGAGAACATTCTTCAAAAGACAAAGTTTGCAGTAGTGTCAACTAACAAAAGTGGCATCACCAAAGACAGCATGTGATCAGCGTCTAAGATATTCCCAGAGTATGTCCTTGGTACCTGAAAGTCCACAGGAATTGGGCCATAGGGCACACTGATGTTTAAGGCTTGGACATCTTCTCGCTGCCTGATGTCCATCCAAGGGTTGTAGGCCACAGGGGGTAGGCCATCAGGGACCTGGGGATCAGGAGCCAGGGTGATATTCTCCAGGGGATACAATTTCTGAAATTCCTTGGGTAAAAACACACAAAGCCAAAAGGTTGTCAATCTTTCAGCAAAGGAATAAGGCTATGGCTCTATGGGGGCTTATATTGCCTTTTCTCTAAGCCTGGGATGAATTTACATGGTTGTTCACTATCACTCCCCAGAGATTTAACCTCTATCACAGGTCACACCTTAAGTTACCATCACAAGATTCCAGTGGTAATGAAATAATGCAACTTATGTCTCCTGAAAATCAAGCAGGAACAGCTCTCTTCCCTCACACAGATGCCCTCTTGTTCCTGTCCCCACCTCACTCTCAACTCAAAGAGGTATGGTAAAGTGTTAGGTATTACCAAAACTACCCTCAACTTCTGTAATTCACTAGAACTTCCAGGACTCAACACAGGCATTTATAAGAGAAAGGACCAAACACAGTCCTCAAGGGGAAAAAGCACAAGGCAAAGTCCAGGGAAAACAAGGCCCAAACTTCTACAGTCCTACGCGAGTCACATAGCATGCAGTTAATATCCCAGTAACAAGTTGTATGACAAGACCTGAAATGCTACCAACTGGTGCTCATTAAAGCGTCGGCACCTGGTTTTAATTTGAGGCTGGTCACACAGGCACCTTGTATATGAAACCTATTAAAATCCCAGGCTCCCAGAAGGAAAACACTGATTCATCATAAACTACAGCATTTGCCAGTTGAGGTCATAGTGAGCCATTCTTATCAGTTCTGGGGATGGTGGTGGCACTCTTGAAATCAAAGTTTCCAGATGTGAGCCAAGGGCCACCCTCGTAAGCAGACCTTTCAGAGGATCACAGCTAGGCCAGCTGCGTTAACTCTTTTTTGCAAAGAGGCATGAGAGGTGAGTCTTACAGGCTTCTTCTTCTATCAAGGGGACTAGAAGCTTCTACTAGGAGCCAAGATCCCCTGGGCCAATCAAAGCTAGACACCTGCAGCATCAAAGAGCGTACCTTCTGGGCTCTACTTTCATTACAAGTGAGAGATTCTTGGGAAAGTCAAAAGCATGGATTACTCATCTCTAGGGAAAAACTGAAAAAGATTACAAAAAGGAAAAGACCACATGCTTTAAATGATCTACACATATAAGATTTGAGGTTCCAACAAGCATTAAGAGGTCTGAACTGATAAGACCAAGGGGGAAGAGACAGTGACTGAAGAGGGCTTCTTAATACCAGGAATTGTTCCCAAGGACCATCTCTTATTATAAGCTTTGGAGGACAGCTCTGATTCATGTCTGTATGATCATCTCACCACCCGACCTGACATTTGCTCAGTGAATTCAAAGAAAAGTAAAATCCTCCAGAGGAAAGTAGAAAGTCAAGTACTTGTTACACATGACCTAATAATATTTCTTGGCCTTGACTTCTGAATCTCCACTCCACTGAGTATGCTAGCATCCATCAGGCATTCCTGACAACTGAGATGGAAACATGTGACTATTTTCACTACACAAATTCCTCCCTCAACAAACATGGTGGTAGTAGCTGTATTGGATCAGCCGACAGCAACTCTTTACCTTGGGGTACCTAAATGGGATATGTGGCTTATGGTATCCAACAGCCAGAAAGAAAGGTCTGGCCAATGTTTTCATCTTTTTCAACAGTTGTATGGCTTGCTCAGTACTCTGTTTGTCAGGCAAGGTGCCCTCAGGCACATCTTCCACATCCACAGGGCAAAGCAGGTTGGCATGGAGTTCTCCATCTTGCCCCCTACATGTCTATCAAAACAAAATATGTAACATCAGCTTTTAAAATGGAATATAAATGAAAGATTATACATATTAATGTAGCATTCACGTCACCAGCCTATTAGCTATTAACCATTCAGACTGAAAAAGCACATCAGAAACCTAAAGCAGAGAAGTATTTCTTTTATAGTTAGGAGCCACAAGTTGACCAGCACTTAGCTCATTGCTGCTAATCCTCTGTCTCCAGATCACAATTAAAGAAAACCCAAGTAAACTAATTATAAAAATAATCTATCTCCAATCGAATAATAAAATGATAAATAAGCCAATTGAAAATGGGAAAAACAGACAGGCATTTTGCCTACTCTTTAGGGTGCCCATGGCCCACATAAGAGTATCTGGCTTCTATACCCAGCTCTGGCTATAGTGGCTGACTCCAGCTTCTTGCTAATGTACACCCTAGGAGGCAGAAGTATTGGCTCAAGTAACTGGGTTCCTACCATCCATGTTGAAGACCTGGATTGAGTTATTGGTTTCTAGCTTTGGCCCACTGCCGCCACTGCTATTATGGTTATCTGGGGGAATGAATCAGTGGATGAGAGGATTAGCTTACTTTGTCTGTCTGTCTCTCTCTTCCCCATCCCTCTCAAAAAAAAAAAAAACTTATAAAAATAACCTTAAAAAACTAGGCAAAGGATTATAACAGACATTTTTTCAAAAAGATATGTGAATGGCCATTAGTACATATAAATATGCTGAACATCGTTAGTCATTAGGGAAATACAACTCACCATCACCCCCACTAGAATGGTCATAATTTTTTTAAAATGGAAGATAACCAAGTGCTTACAAGGATGTAGAGAAATTGGAACTCTCATACATTGCTTGTGAGAATGTAAAATGGTACAACCACCTAGGAAAACAATCTTGCAATTCCTCAAACAGTTAAACATATTTTTATGACCTAGTGAATCCATTCTTAGCTATATACCCAAGCAACATTTTTTAAAAAGTCCACAAAAATACTTGTACATTCATGCTGACAGTACCATTATTACTAACAGCCAAAAAGTAGAAACAATTCAAATACCCATCACAAATAGCCATAAGGTATAGGTCAGAGGCCCCAGTTTTCACTGTATTCTGCAATGCAAAGTTATGAGGAATTTAGAACATCAGCTTCTACCCCATCCCAAAATCACCACCCTTCCCATGAGATGTCTCCAAAAACCTCAAAGGAGTATATTATTTCTCAGTTCTCCATCTATTTTTCTAAATTTTTAAATGTGGGGTTAGTTTCCTTTATACATTGAGGATTACTCTGAACCAAGACTAATTGTTTTATAGATTATTTTTTCTTACATTGTTACAAACGGTGAAATCCATCTAAGACGTCTCAGCAGCTGTACATATGTGTTAGGCCAAACAAAGACACATAGCATACCTTTCTCCCACTCTGAGCTAAGGTTCCTGCAGCTCAGGCCTCCCTTCTCCCTCCCAGGTCTCAACATCTCCTAAAACTCTCAGTTTATACCCTCATCTTGAGTACCATCAAGGAGTCATTAAGTGAGTCTGACACACTGCAGCCTAAGGTTCCAAGAACAAGGAGTAGCCACCAGCTTATAAAATGAAGCCACCACCCCAATTGGTCATAATGCTAAAGAGTCTAACATCCGTCTCTGTTAAAATATGTCTCTGTTAAAATTATCACAAGTGAAACCCACAAACTTTATGGCATAGCCAACTTGAAAGAACATGCAGTACATACAATAGCTTACTTGCCAGACAAGGAAAAAGTTGTTCCTTCTCACAACAGTGCCCCTTTGCAGGCTTACCTTAGTGTTTTCATACTTCTCAGAGGAAGGATGATAAGGTGGAAAAGACCAGCTATATGGAGAATCATCACTATGATTGGATGATATGCCTTGAAGGGAGGAAATAGAGAAAATCGTTAAATAAAACATGAAGGGTCTTTCAATGCCCCACTGTCAACAATTAGAACTTTGTAAGCAATTGAGAAGATGAAGTCTCTCCCCTATTTAGGCCTATTTAGTTTCCTCATCCAAGCTTCTACTACAACCAACTCTAGGTTTCTATCACAGTATTGAAAATAGGACTTCCTGGTCCCCACAGCCCAGTGATTTCTGCTAGACTCTGAATGAGATGCACAAGGGCGAGATCAGCCAGCTGATTATGCAGTGCATCTCCTTAGAGCCTATGTGGAGCCTCTCATCCACCCTACAAGAGTGCACAGTCATTAGTGCCACCCTGGGGCAAATTCAAAAAAGGGGCTCAGAAAAGGCCCATGCCTCGCTTGGTAAAACCCAGAGATTAAGTGAGCAGGACTCAAACCCATGCCTTGAGATTTCAAGTTCAAGTGATCATTCGTGAAGCAGAAACCTAGACTTAAGCTTAATAATTTAAAGTCTATTTCAGAAGACAAAATAACAACACATGCAACCAAACAAGTTTTGTCAGCTCTCAGAAGAGTAGGAGTGTCAAGTAAGTGGGGGATCCCCAGGGAAAGTGACATGGGTCAGGTGAGGGTCTGCAAGGAAGGCTTCCAGAAGTCTCCAAGGCTTGTGAAGGATTTGAAGGCAATTTCTGCCTTTAAGGGCTAGCCAGAAGAAGCAGAGGGGACTGCAGGCAGAATCATGGGAAAAACAGCATCACCAGCACAGTGATGCACTGGGGCTCTAATGGAGACCTCCAAAGGAAGCAGGACTGAAGGGAAAGGGACAGTAGATAGAGGACCTGCTAATACAGCAAAGTGGAAAGTCCACATACAGACAACAGATCTCAGTTGAAGGCCTGACATGACCCCCTTAGAAGCTGGACAAGGTTGGGCAAGCTACTTGACCTTTATGAGCCTCAATTTCCACCTATGGAGGTGCCCTGTGGCATTTTGGTGCAGCAGTTTAAGCTGCTGCTTGCAAAGCCCACATCCCATATCTAAGTGCCAGTTCAAGACACAGTTGCTCCAATTCCAATCCAGTTTCCTGGGAGGTGGCAGATGACAGCTTCGGTACTTGGGCCCCTTCCACCCACATGGGAGACCTGGATAGAAGTTCTGGCTGCTGGCTTCAGTCTGGTCCAGCCCTGGTTGTTGCTTTCTCCCCAGCCCCTGCCCCATGCTCTGCCTTTCAAGTACTTAAAATACATAAAGATTTAAAAAATTTCTACTAGGGAAATGAAAACAATCATAAAAATCTACCTTGGTTACCATTGAGAGGATTAAAGGAGCAGCCAGTACAATCAACGGCATGTATTTGTCACTTAGTGGTGGCTACTGTCATCATGGAGCAGGCCCAAACTTGACAAAGGTTTTGAGAACAAATACCCAGTTGAAAAATCTGTTTTTCACAAGGACTGCAAGGGAAAGCTTTTACTCTCTGGCTAGAACACAGTGAAGCTCAAAGTTATTCTCAACCTGGACTGGGTTCTGAAAGAGGAGGGCTGCTGAGCCCAGCAATGATAACCAGTGAGCAAAGGGAAAGCTACTGAGAACATTCAAGTTGTCAGCCCGAAGGACAAGCACTACCACCTCAATGGAACTCTTGCCTTCAATGCACTTTCATACTCATGAACTAGCTGAGATGCTTCCCTGGAAAGTAGTCAAGACAGCTTATGACTCCACCTTTCCACATAAGGAATTTGAGGCTCAAAGAGGACGAACAATTTGCCCAAGGTCAACTTCACAGCTAAGAAATGGCAGAGCTGGGGGCCCAGCATTTGGCACAACAATTAAGATGCCACTTAAGATATTCGCATGCCATATCAGACTGCCTTCAAGACCTGGTTCTGCTTCTGATTTCAACTTCCTGCTAATGCACAACCTGGGAGAGAGCAGATGATGGCTCAAAGTTTTGGTTCCCTGCTGCCCAAGTGGGAGGTCCAGATTGGAGTACTAGTTTCCTGGTTTCAGCCTGGCAGAGCCCCAGATGTTGCAGGTCAGGCATTCAGGGAGTGAGCCAGCAAAGGGAAGATTTCTCTCTCTCTCTCTGTATCTCTCTCTTTCTGTGTGTGTGTGTGCGCATGTGTGTGCATGTCCCCCTCCTCCTTTAAAATAAATTAAAATTACAAAAAAAGTGATGGGCCACTACTGTGGCACAGTGGGTAAAGCCACCATTTGCAGTGCCGGAATCCCATATGGGCACCCATTTCAGTTGAGTGCTCCACTTTCAGTCCAGCTCCCTGCTAATGTGCCGGGGAAAGCAGTGGGGGACAGCCCAAGTACTTGGGCCCCTGCACTCACATGGGAGTGCTCCTGGCTCCAGGCATCAGCCTGGCTCAACACTGGCTGTTGAGGCCATTTGGAAGTTGAACCAGCAGATGGATCATCACGCTCTCTGCTTCTCCCTCTCTCTGTCTGTAACTATGTCCCTAAATAAATAAAAAATTATTTTAAAAAAGTGGCAGAGCTGAGACTAGTTGCCTAGACTCCTGGTGCTATAACAGTTCTCTATTTCCAAAGAATGTCATGCCAGCAAATGTACAGCACTGAAAACCTCAACTTGGACTGAAGGACGGTACACCTGTATGTCAGACTACTATGCTCATTAAAAATGACTTAATAATAATGACATTGTGGGGAAATGTTATTTTAATATTTGAGGATACAGAGGTTAGCACTTTAGTACATCAGGTTAAACTCCTGCTTGGGATGCCTGCATCACATATCACAGTGCCAGTTTAGTCCTTGCTACTGTTTCCAATCAGCCACCTACTAATGTACCTGGGAGGCAGCAGATCATGGCTCAAGTATGAATCTTGCCACACATATGGAAGATCCAAATGGAGTTCCTGGCTCCTGGTTTCTGTCTAGCCCATCTCTGGCTATTGTGGCCATTTGGAGAGTGAACCAGCTGATGGAAGATGTCTCCCCAGCCTTTTGTTTTTTTAAAAAAAGATTTATTTATTTGAAGTCAGAACTATGGGTTGGGGGGGGGGAGAGAAAGGGAAAGAAAGAAGAGGGAAAGAAAGAAGACGGGAGGGGGGGAGGGGAGGGGAGGGGAGGGAGGAAAGGAAAGGAAAGGAAAGGAAAGGAGGAAGGAGGAAGGAGGAAGGAGGAAGGAGGAAGGAGGAAGGAAGGAAGGAAGGAAGGAAGGAAGGAAGGAAGGAAGGAAGGAAGGAAGGAAGGAAGGAAGGAAGGAAGGAAGAAAGAAAGAAAGAAAGAAAGAAAGAAAGAAAGAAAGAAAGAAAGAAAGAAAGAAAGA